TATTATTATTATTATTATTATTATTATTATTATTATTATTATTATTATTATTATTATTACTATTGCTATTATTATTGTTATTATAATTGTTATTATCGTTATTATTATTATTATTATTATTATTATTAATATTGTTATTATCAATATTATTATATTGCTATACAAATATAACAGAGTGCTGATTCAAGAGCTTTTTATTGAGGTGTTATGCATTAAAAAATCTAGTTACTGGTGGTCAATAGTAAGTAATAAGGCAGTTGCGAAACCAGTCATACGTTCTGTCGAGGTTTCATATAGTCGTCTCGTGTCGCACATATTCAGCGCTTATGTTAGCTTAAGTTTTGAATGGTTTCAAAAACTGAATAATTACTCAGTTGTAAGATAAAACGTTCTCGTTGCAGTGGTGCACAATTTGGGTTTTCAGCTGTGGCTGTGAACGTGCTAAATGAGAAGTGTTATGAGTAATACTCGGAAGGGTTAAGCCAGGAGTGAACTGGATAGGTGGAGATGATTGCTTGTGGTGTGTTGTGATCGGTGTTGAATAGTGTTATTTTACGCATATGATTTGCGTCACTTCATTTTCACTTCATGCACATGTTTTCGTAATTCTTTTCGGTTACACCACTCAACTCAGCTTAAGCGTTAGCATAACTGACTACAGTACATTCAGCAGGTGTTTGTTTCATTGCTTTAGTGTTTTAAAGTTGAGCCGTATTGTGCGATCGATGCTGCTCTTCGCTATAATCTTCCGATTATATAAAATAAGAAGCACCTTTCGCAATTCCTCCGTGCATTCCTGTTGTCTAAAACCATTCCTTTTTCTCAACATCTATGGTGTTTCAAAAAAGATATGATGTTAACTATGGATATTTATCTTCTGAAATGAATCAGTTGAATAATTGTGTAAAAACAACGATAACTGCTGATTGTTAGTATTGTAGTAAGTGTTCAATTAAGCACTTATCAAAACATTCTTCTGATGACAGCATGAACAGTAAGAAGCAATAGATTTATTATGAAATATAGGAGAGACAAAGTGCAAAATGCGCTATGAATAATGAAGAGAACTTGATTAAAGAAGGAATTGTTAAGGTGATAATAAAGATGGTAGTGATAAAGATGGTCTTATTTGAAGTTTTAATGGAATTGATTCGATCGAATACGTTTTATTGAATATTTGTTTGGTTGTTTGTTTGTTTGTATGTTTTTAATTGGAATTGCGATTCGATTTTTTAAGTTATTGGAATTTTCATTGAAGAAAGACCGGTTTGGTTGACTTTAGGTTGGGTTGGGCTTGTTCGATTAAGACGAGAAGAAAATATGTATTTTTGATGAGTAGGATTGTATTTTGGTATGGTATGGTATGAGACTGTTTTGATGCATGACTCTAGCAGTTTCATGCAATTTTTCTAGCGAATGAAAAGGAACGAAGAGATTGATTCGTTTCAATAAATAGAATTGTGGAGGAGGAGGAGTAGAAGAAAAGTTAGCGATAAAAAAAGCGTTTCAGATCGGTGCATTGAGGATTATTGTATTATATAAACGACAAGTTGTCTGTGTTGATTTGTGCATCGTATTTATGTGAAGAAGCATTCAGCATTTCTTTGTTCTCTTAGACACTACACTCTAAGAAAGTATTCTTCTTCTTCAACTTCTCGAACTCGTACAGCTGCTTTGCTGCCACTTGCAGTCCTCACATACTGTTGTGTTTATTTTTATGAATATAAATTTTAATGCACTTAATCATCAAAGTAGACAACAGCAGTAGGGAAGGGCGGCATTTAAGGGTGTGAGACGAGATGTGCAGATAGATTAGGATGAGGTATTGTTTGCGAACTCGTTGGTTGTGCGAATGGCTGAGATTGAGTGGTACACAGCCAGGGTCGAGCCAAGCGACTTATTTATCTGAGCAATTTTCATTTGAATTTATTACGAGTTGTGTTCATTGCTTGATCATTCATTTCGTTAAATGTTACGTAATCATTATAAACTCGTATTCACCTTTTTGGTGCATCTTTTCATAACTGTATAATGTGAAAACGAATTTCATAAGAACATTATTCAATATTACTACTGTTCAATAATACTGTTATCATTTTGTTTTCATGGCGCAATGACTATGCCTGATTATATCAAACAAGTCACCGTTACTGGAGACATATCACCTATTGTGAATGACGTGAGTTTCTTTATTATTATTAATATTATTACTATTATTATTATTAATCTTTTGTTATTATTACTAGTTTGAGTGTGTTCGTTATTATTGCTCTGATGGAATGAAATGATTAATTGGTTGATTGGAGCTGGAACGAGAAAAGATAATTTGATTCCGAATAAGAAAGTATGAAGTAGAAAATATCGAATTAAAAGTGAAAATATTTCGATGACTCCTCCTCTCGATTAGTCTTATTTTCAATTGAAAAATAAGACGTCAAATACTTTAAAAATACTTTTACGTGTACTTATTTCTCATAGCGCATTTATTTATTTATATGCGTTGATTGTTTTGTACATTACGGATAAAAGATAAAGTGCAAATGAAAGAATGTATTCGATTCACAACAATATTATGAATCCGATAATAGTATTTATTATGACAATAATAATAATGAATAATTATCGTAGCAATACCAATGGCAATCATTATAGAAATAACACTCATCAGATATACTAGTCGTAAAATAGCAGCGAAAAGTCAACTTGACAGTTGAATTCCCATTTTGGTTGTTGTGCATTTGTGTGTTTATTTTTATGTATTCATTAAAAATTATTTCATCGTCACTATTTTTCTTATGTTCATTGAATTATAGTATCGAAACCATCATTCTTTGCATATTCTCTATTTTTTACAAAAAAATTAATGAAAAATCCTAAATCTTCGCTTCGCTTCATTCATTTCCAATGAAAATTTTCGAAAACGGAACAGAAAAACGAAAACACTCTGTAGATTCTTCAATTATATAACATACGTAAGATATTAGTCGTGTTTTTGTGTGTGTTATTGAAGTATTTGTTTGCTGAAATTGAATGAATCATTGTAATTTATCACTCAACTAAAACATATTGAATATAGGTCATTTATTAATAATTTTTACTTAGAGAATGGAATGAGGTATATTCAAGCGTTGAATAAGATTTGTTTAAGCGTAATTCCGGTAGTTGTGTTGTAAGAGCGGATGAGTAAAGGTGATGAGGCGGATGTTAGAGTGAGTGGAGTGATATATATGTGTATTGCAATTTCAGTGACGTACGGAACAAGATGAAGTTGTTTTTAGCATACGTGGGTTGTTTGAGTGAATGACTAGGTGTGCTGTACTGTGTTCTGGTGATTACCTGCTCAATTACTTTCATCTTATTTATTTTGTTTTTTTTTTCTCGCAAATCTTTGAAAATTTTCTCTTCTCTCAACGACGAAACGACGATTCATCAACCTTGTCTCATTCTTGTTCTTCTTCGAAAATTTTATTTATTTTATTCCCCTGTCTTTTTCCATTTTCCTTATTTTATACGAAAGAATTTTTCACTTTTTTCTAATCCATTCATTCCAAATTTTACAGTGTTACGGTAAATTTCATCACCTCACCTCATACCACATCACATTACATTACATTCCAAGCCTCTAAATATCATTCACCTAAATGTCTTCTCTCTTCCGTTCGCAATAGGACACATACAATGTAAAGCCTCGACAAGAACAACTCAGTTCAAAAATTTACAAAACGAATGAAATGAATTCAACTATGAACATTAATTCACAATGCTATGGTCTAGCAGACAAAACATTAGAATGTTGAGCAGAAGGCAACAAGTTCGAATAACATTCTTACACTGCTTTTTCAAATGTTATTTTTTCATCGGCGGTTTGTCAATGTTTTATTACGGTTTGAGGACGTGATTTCTTAGGTTCTTAAAGAAACTCTCAAGAAACAGAATAATTTTTTTTGCGGAAATGCAAAGAGTTGACTGATGAAGGGTGTGAAGAAGTGTGTTCATTTGAAGAATGAAACGGAAAGTTCGTTTGCAGGATCATCTCTTGGAAGAATGGTGTAACGAGGTGGCTAAAGAGGTGTGGGAACAAAAGCCTGAATTTGCAGTGATACATATTCAGGGATTGCGTGCAGCATCCAATCCTGATCAATTCGCTGAGAAAATAGTCAAATTGTTCGTTGTTTTTCTTATTTCACTTATTTATACGTATTATAGACAGCCATTAACCGGACCGCTGCAGCACTGAACCACAACTACAGGGAAACACCCGCATTTTTCCAGTTGAAAATGAGTTTTTCGGAACAATTGTATCTGGTTTGAGCCTTCTCAATTTAATCCTAATTCTATGTCTTGAGATTAAATTACCCCTTCTCGGTCTCCTGGCCATTTCACACTTTGTCCATAGTAGCAGTCGAGTTCCACAAGTCTTAGAGATTGCCGCTATGTTTAATTCATTTCTTTTAAAGACCCATCCAACAGCCATGCTTCGTAATATTTACGTGAACATCTGCGTGATACAATCAATGTGCTTGTGTGGTATTTCACTTTATGCGTATGTAACATCACTGTTATTACTGTTATCAGTTAACAAGCGAAAAGGTAGTCGCAAGGGGTACTATTCCTTCACTCGCATTAACCGTGAGATATAGTGCAAACCGTTGTTCAATAAATTTGCACATGGCGATATATATCTGGCATGCAAGATGAAACTGTTCGGAAAGTGCTCTGAAAACTTTTACATTGAAGCAGTTTTTAGTTATATGAATAGATTACTCACGAAGACAGCAGCATTTCAAAGACGTGCCATGGGTTTTAGATTAGGGTAGATAATCGTCGATCCCTATGGAGTAAAACGCTATCAGAAATTTGGTCGCAATCATGTGAAACTTTGAAATAGCAAGAAATGTCTGCTGGCAATTCAGTTCCTTGCAAACAATTATGAAGCTACACCCACTTTTGTTTATTTCAGTGGTTTGCATGCTCTTGCGCTCTATTCGTATGGCAAACTGCCGTTCCTTTTCTCCTTCCGCCCCCACCTCCAAAAAAGTCTACGTAAGAGCAATTTCCCTCTTTCCTGTTAAACTACTATCACTTCTTTGTCGCGGATCAAAAGTAGACCGAGAAAATAAGCCATTGATCAACAAGTTGGCTGTAGAGAATTCGTTGATTGTATCAAATGAACCAGTCTATTGCGATATTTTGAAGACATTATTGTACATCTGAGGAGGAGTTAGGAAGAAGGAATCAAGTCCTTAGTGATTTGCGAGTCAGTTCCGTCTCCCATGACAATCACTAATGAAAAAGGCAGGATAGACCAGCAATTTCGAAAGAAATCATGCATCGCAAAGTACAGTCGCAAGACACAAGCTAATAGAAGAAAACAGAAAGCTACCGAAAAAGTATGGTTCACCCGTGCTCCGAGTATGCCAATCTAATCTAGAGTGAATACGAATCGTTTGCATTTGTTATAGCGTATTCATTAGTTCAGCGCTTGTAATTTCGTTCAGTATAGCTAGGGTAGCCAGGATTAAGAATTAGTGTGATGGGTGATCGAAGGTAAGTACCAACTAGCCTGCCTCCACATGCTTGCTCTCTGCTACGCCCATTTCAGTCGTCGAATAATACATGATTGTCGTGCTAACCAAAGGTTATCAGTCTCATTTGTTATTATTAAGTTACTTTTATTGCAGTATTCTTCGCGATCCCAGAGAGATAGCGTCACAGTTCTCGACTAGTCGTGCTTTCTTCGATACACGCGAAACGGTCAGTGTTCACTCATCTTTATTTCATCATAAATGTTCGGCTAACCAATCGTACGTACGGCAAATAAAGTTTTAATAGCATTAGAGACCAGCAATAACAGACCTTTTATATGCTTGCTTTTCAAATTATCATTGGTAACGTGAATTGAAGGGTCTTGGTTCGATCTATCTGTTCCGAACGAATAACGACATAGAACTGTTTGACCGCTACAGTAATACCGGGTATAAAAGTCTCAGATCAGGGCATCAATATGAGATCGGTGCACGTGAATGTGATGGTTTTATCGCAAGTACATTTGGGGCCACTTCGAATACGGCCACGAGCTCACAGTCGTTTAGTTCGTATCGATACGATTCCGATTCATATGTTGGTTATCCGTTATCCTTATCATTCATCGTCATTGTACTCCTCAATTGATTATATGTCATTTTTGAAGCGTAATGATGCAGCACCCTCAGAAGTGCCCCAGCAAACGGGTTTTCTGATGTCACGTTATCGTATTTATGGGCGTGACTTCACGTTCGTCAATTTGGCTCTTCATGCGGTACCATTCGAGGATATCAATGAATTAGTTGAACAGGTTCGTCGTTTATCACTATCATCATTGTTGTTATTCTATAATGATCATTTATTTTGTTTTCAGCCTGAGCAAACTAAAGCGGCAAGACTGCGTCAAAATCAGATCAATCTTCTTTTGAAAGAGTTTGTTTTTCATTATTTTGTGCGCTTTTCAATAATGAGAGACATTGACCAGTAATGATGTTTATATTTAGAATAGATTCCGAGGGTTTGAAAGATGATTCAATTCTCGTTGCGGGCGCATTCAACGCACAATTATTTGAAACTCAACTGCTCAGTGTATTTTTTAAGTTTAAAATTATTTTTTTGTGTTTCATTTTTGTATTTCTTGTGTTTTTTGTATTTTGTATATCTTTCGATTCCATCAAAATACTCATTCGCCTTTTCTGTATTTTAATAAGTGGAGGATTTGCGGCTATCTGGATTTTAAACGTCTCATTGCATTCAACTTGGGTTTAGTATTCTCAGCTTCAATCTTCATGTGAACTCCAACTAAGCTTGAATTTCGTTAAGAAGTGTACTTAAAGATGCGCTGTTGCGATGATGGCTTTTTTAAAATGCATTCATGAGCGATGTTAACTTTTGAATTGATGCGCGAAATTAAGATTAGGCGCTTTGATTTACGAAAATTCAAAGAATGCCAAAAATTATTAATATAATCATCATTGAAATGTATTTGTTTTGTATAAAGGACATGGCTGATACACAACGAGCAACAAGTTATGCGAAGAAAGCATCTGATGGAAGATTAGAAGGTATTGAACAACGGGATCGTTACGGAAGGGTATGCTGTTATTGTATTCATAATGATATTTATGTGTGCATGACAAGAAGAGCAGTAATCGTATGAAGCTTTTGAAATAATTTAAAATGAAGAGTGCAGTTCAAATTGATTGCATTATTGTTATTTGATGATGCTTCAAGTTCGGCATTCATTTCGGTTAATTCAACAAAAATTTTGGAAATTTCAATAATTTAGATTAGACTTTTATTTGACTCATTTTATTCACAGTTACATTTTTCTGAACTTGCAAGTAACGAAAAGTACTTCGTTGTGCTCACCTTCAGTTCAAGTACCTCTAATCTCCCTTCAGACTCAACCAATCATTGTCAAACTATAACGGCATGGAACCGGAGTTGAGCTTGTGAATTTTTGGAAACAACATGCTTAAAAATATCATAGCTTCACGACGATTGGAGGGGTTTGATGAGCACTTCATTTGTTTGTTTTTTCGGAAGGTCGAAAAATATGAGAAATTCTACAGATAATATGACTTAAGTAAGGGGAATTACGTTTAAAGCAGTTGGAATTACGTATGAATGACAAATGAGCAGTACTTTTTAGAGTATTGTAACAGTAGAACAACATCGCTTTGATTTGCATTCAATTCATGACTGGTTCTTCCGTTTGGGAAGAGGACAGATGGTCAAGAAATATAATGGTGAATTGGCACAGGTTGTTTTTGGAGGAAAACTTCTCGAGGAATCCGTTTTCTTCCAGGTAATTATTTGTTATTCTTCTTTTCATTATTATTGCTTATACTGTTTTAAAATATCAGTCCTCGTTGGAAAAAGTTTTGATCTCATCCAGTCCACAAGGCTGCTGTTGTCTCACTGAAAAAAGTGTTGGATATGAGTGTGTTAATGGCAGTTGCGCTTTTATGATTTGCTAGAAACGTTGTATAATTATTCCTTATTTTGAAATTGTATTTGTGAGCGATTTTCATTCGCAGCCATCGCGTCATTATGGTGTAAGCAAAGTGAGTGGAAAGGAAGAGTTCATGAAAAATTTATGTCCCGCATGGGCAGATCGAGTGTTATACAACGAAAAGCTTAGTGACCTCTTCAGACATGTAAATTTCATTTCATTTTGTTTGCTTTTATTTCTTTCATCGTATTTCTATGTTCAGTATGTTGTTCGAGCGATTTTTTGGTGGTACTATTATCAAATAAAAAACGTCCCAGTAGGGCTGCCAAGCTTTTTCGTTCAAAGGAAAATGAATAGTAACAGTGACAATAATGTTAATGACAACAATATAACTAATTAATGCTGAGGAGAACGAAAGAAAACGATTGCAATTTGAAGGATTCGTTTTGTGCGTCAGGCTTATATTACGGTCTAGTTGGCGAAAAGACGTTCATTGGACAACACAAGCCGGTAGCGTTGCATGCAACCATCTGCTTAAAATAAATGAATGCTTTCATCTTGATTATGAAAATTAGTTAATTATATGATTATTTTAAATGATTATTTCGGCCAATTTTCATTTTCTAAGTATTTCGTTTACCGAATATCGGTTTTTGTGGACCTTTTCTTTCCGTCACTTCTTCATTTGCTGTTATTGCGTTCTTCAAGTTGTGGTATCTTCAAAAAAAAAACTATCGTGTTTTATTTTGTGTAATTATTATCATTAAAAATATTATAAGTAGATATATTCATTCGTATTTATTATTATCTTCGAGGTCATTAACATGCTCATTAGTTCATTAACATAAAATAATTAGTATCAAATCAGTCACTTCATTATTATTTAACAGTGTAATAATAATATGATACTAGTATTATTATTATTGTTACTATTTTATTGTGAATTATCAAGAGATGAGAAGCCTTTTAGAAGCTGCCTTAAAATATGTTAGAATGCCGTACTTATGCAACCATATTGAATGCATCGAAGATTGGCTCCAATTGTCTGAGTTTGTGAATTATTCATCTATTCATCCACCCATCCATCCATTTGATTCTCACATTCTATCGGTTGATGAACTGCACTGAGCCTAGAACATAAGACTAAGCTCCTAATCACTGCTGATTATCTAATCGTCAGAATGATTACTGACTAATAAATATGGCATTCTACATATAAATATATCGTTATTTGTGTTTTATCTTCGTTTTTCTATATTTGTTTTATAGAAGATATTACTCACTCTATTATATCAGAACAATACTTAATCAATTTTGTTTTTAGTTTATTAATATCGTCAATGGTTATAGTAATTGTTATTCATTTTAACAATTCATCCGCGTTTAACCCTCCATCATTGATGAACAATTTTTGTTTTGCTTCTTGCAAATGATGCCTTCCAGTATTATTCTCACTGTACTGTTTCATTTTATTATTATACATACTATCATAATTATTGTTCATATTATTATTACAGAGAATTAATATCAGTCGTTCCTTAAATTGATTGTCAATGTGATGAACCATTTACTTGAAACGTTGCCTTATAGTCTAATCTTTAATTGTGATATATATTACTTAACTATGTTATGCCATAGTATTTTATCACCGTGTATTCTCAGTTATCAAACATTTTCAGTCTTAGAATCTCTTCCCTATGATCAAATCCTTAGCATCAGTTAGGCCATATACAAGTATTTTATTGATGTGATCATTTCTAGTGCTTTTCAGTTCATAATATCATTGTGTTATGTTGCAAGTATTCATAGTCTGCTTATTCTCGAATTGTTTAGCAACGAACGCTTTCGATGTGTTTATTAATCAGTCTTCTAATCACAATTATCAGTCGCATTTCATCAGTCAGTTAATCAACTAAGTTTTAATCTTCTGTTCGTTTCATTTCTAAGCGATTAATTCCGAAATGTTGTCTTTTTTATTTTTCTTTGCAACGATCTATACCTTCGTTCAATTCGATACAATTAACGCGCCTTTATGTATTGCTGCACACGTTTTTGTTCGTTTCAGAGGTAGTTATACGTGTAAATCATTGACGGATATATGGATGGATGAACGGATGAATGGACTGCGTATTAATTTACTGATTTTTTCGTAAATCATTATCCTATTCGCTTTCAACGAACAATAAAATTTTTTAACGCATTCATTATTTTTATCTTCATTATTGCTGTCGCCAATATTATGATTAAATTTTATATTTTTAATTGAATGTTGAAGTTCCGTCACTATTTTTCAAATTAATCGTTTCGTTTGCAGTCGATCAAACTAACTCTGAAGTTAGTTTTTATTTTATACACCTACGAAGATGTGTTGAAACCGTACACGACAAATTGAACAAGGCCTTTATTTCATTTTACTGTGAGTGTCCACGTTCATAAGAGCCTCTACCGATGGAAGATGCTTAGCTGCTCTCGCTTAATCAAAAAACTTTAAATTCATTATCAAATTTGACAAGTTCTGATGTCATCGAATGGTAATATCATGCTCTAAATCGATGTTCAATAAGAAAATACAAACATTAAAAGCCTGTGAGCATTGTCTTTGCTAGGTATTCTTTTATTACTGACAACATATGCAAGATGGGACAGTTTCATAAGTGTTGAGACTGAAATGGTGTTTGTCATTGGCTAGTTCGCATAAGAGTTTACCAACAAATTCATAGCTTCCATTCATCATAGACAGGAATGAATTCTTTCATGTTAGTCAATGAAAAATGAATCATTTCTTTCTAGCAGTCCCAATTCTACCCATTTTAAAATCTTATTGCTAGCAGAGAATGTCTACTAGTTCATTGATACTGATTGTTTTATTGCAGTAGTTTTTATCGTTCGAATTTTTGAAAAATTTTGTTTTTCGAATAGTTGTGGAACACTTTTGCAAGAATTATGGTACGTCAGATCATGCAAATGATACCGATTGAAAGTTTGTTCCATCAAAGTGTATTTGTGAGAAGTTTTATATATTTTTCATGAGTGAGTGTCGTATATATAATAACCTTGCGATGACAATAACTCTCCCCTTTCCGTGAAAGTTCTGAGTACGAATCTGTCTAGGCATCTCAGAAAACTGGGCATAATTTATTGGATTGACCGTTCTCTCCAGTTTTCGCAAATTCAACTTCACCTCTCGACTAACTAGCCTGAATAATCCATTTTTCATCACCGATTACACGTCACTCGAAAAACTTTCCTTCATCTTCTGATTGTTTATTATTTTTTAAAACAACTGAAGAATGGCTGCACCTCTGAACGAACAGATGATCTTTGTGCAACGCTTTTGGCATCCACCTACCATAACCCAAAGTTTTCAGTGAGAGTCGGAAAAGGTGAACCACTATGAAATCACGGGTTTTCTCATACTTGTAGAATCGAAGAATTAGAATTTGTACCGGAAATTTCTGCAAGAAAATGTAGGTAACTTGTAGTATAAGAATTTTAAAAAAACTTGTGTTTAGAAGATGTTTTTAAAACGTTATATCGGTAATTCATTTGTTTATCGATTCCCTATATAAGAGATGGAATTTCACCGTGTATGGTGCACTTCTTCTGATTGTTTAACGTCTTCGGGCGAGGATTATTATAACATGTTCGGATTGTTCATGCTGAGAGTACATGAAAAATATTTACGTGAGGACGGGTTTTGTGTGGGGTGATCATCATGGCCTTTGAAAAGCGATGACTTGAAACGATTAGTGGGATACGGTGAAGAGTGTGCAGCATGTGATCAATGGTGTGGCAGAGGTGTGCGAAAACATCAGAGCGACAGACAAAGAGGGCAAGCACATTGCTAATCATATTGGAGATGTGCAATGAGAGTAACATATGGCCTGGATCTCAACCGGGAGATTAAGGGTATATGCTATGGCGGGAGAAGGTCTATGAGAATCTTTTTCAGTCCGAAAATTTCACGAAACTTTTCAGGAGTCATTCGTGCAAAAAAATTGAGATCATGCTGCTGATGGCTATATTGTGAAATTACAGTATGATCGAAATCTCAACGAAAATGTCTGTTTTGTAGTGAATGAAAAGCTCTACAAGATTCCGCACTCAGTACCAGTGTTTCGCAGAACTTCAGAAGATACCTCTTTAAAATGTGTGAGTCTATCAAAAATAGCGAATAAATTTCATCTCCGAAATAAATAACGGAAGAGAAGAAATGAGGGAATAGGAAGAATGAGGGGGGAGAGGTCAAATCATGGGGCATCATTTGTTGTTCGCTATTCACCTTGATTCGTTTCTTTTTTTTGAGAGAGAGAGAAAAAACTTCTGTGGCTTCTGCATATCTTTCCATTCTCTGGTCAGCGTATGGATGCAGTTATTTAATGGGAAATGATGTGTAGTTATTACCATTCATAATTCACAGATGCATACAATTCGTGGATTATCTATCTCCTTTCGGGAGAGGTACCCATTAAGAATGATGGCAGACTCATGAGTACGTGAGCAAGATGTGAACATGAGTAATGAGCGAGCAACTACATACATACTTTCGTCGTAAGCAGTGAGCATGAGCAATTCAGAACGTCCTGCTCACATCGTTAAAAGCGAGCGGGTAGTACCGTTTTTAAGTAATCCTCATTATTGTCCGTTATATACACGAGTCATCAGACCAAGATTTTTAAACCTTAGATATTCGATGCCTTCATCTCTTCCAGTATTAACAAACTGTTGATTTCATTGAAATCCATCGGCAGTATGAATCGCAAATGAAACTTGGTAAAATGATCCCAGATGATTGAGATATCAGAGTCCATTACTTACTTTGTTTTATCAAACGAGAAAAACAACTTCAGATGAAACATCTGATCCAGAGGATATCGGATTTCACTGTCGGTTATTTCAAACAGCTACTATGAGCGATCAATGGACGCATGTTCATTCGATCAAGCAGAATGTATTTTCGGGCTCATTTTGAATTCTTCTTCTCAGAGATCATTGGGCAGTAAGGTTGAGTAGCCTTACACCTCTATTCTCGCTGAGTCAATAATCGAAGTTAGAATGTCATGAAGATGAATGATTCCCAGCGCTAATATCGTTACTTGCGCGGAAAAGGGGAGGAGGAATGTGATATCTGTGATGTTGGTGGTAACAGAGGTGTGAACTCGTAATGAGTTGTTGTAATTGCTGATTAAATAAGTAAATGAATAAATGACTCATGACAAAAATTATACGAAATTTCGATTTCGGAACAGTTTTTCAAGCTTCACAAAGTGTGTGTTTTCGTTTTTTCCGTTGAGATTACAGTCTTATCGTCATGTCGCATTATATCCACCAACAACACTGTTTTTGGTGAGCTCACATCTTTTGAAGAAATGACTTCTGGTAAAAATGTTGGAAAACATAGGAAACTGAGAACGGATCCTGAGAGAGCTTTTCATTCTCTTCACCACAATCATATTGTTAGGGACATTTTTTGTGGAATTAATCTTCAGAAGTTGAAAACGTTCATATCGGTCCTCATCGTAAGCGTTTACTTTGTGTAATCGTCTCTGACACTCTGACTTTTTCGCGAAGTGCGCCGACTCCGTGATCGTGATGGCAAAATCGCATGCAAAAGCTCATTCATATATAGAATGGATGGGACATGCAAAGATTTTCTGTCAAGTAAATATTGTTAAAAATCGTTGACAAATGAAATTTATCATTCATATAGATTAAGAGAATTGTGGCTATTGTCATTCTTATTGTAATTTTTAATTCTCATTACGCTAATCAACCTAATGAGCATGATGTTATCGTGTGATGTTGGATTACGAACAGTTGAAAAAGCTGTTGTTAGTAGTTGAATGTAAATATGGATAGTTTATGCTGAATAAACAATCCTTGCCATAATCAGCACCATGCTGACACACTCGTTTCTTGAGTGGCCAACTTTTGAAGCATTTTCGTTTTTCCGTCGTGTTGTTTGATAGTGCTTTTTCGCTTATTTCTCTCGAATTCCAGCACCCCCCAGTCAGTTTTATCGTTTTCTTATTTTATTGTCATCAATTTTCGTATCTTCGCAACCAGCTAGTCATCATATGGGACGCTATTTTCTTGAGCATTTGGGTGGACGACGGATATTTTCATGTGAAAATTGTAAAGCGTTCCTGACGAATGAAGACGAACTAATTTCGAGGCATTTCACTGGTATTATTTCAATTATTTTTCTTATTCTCTTTTTGCGTTTTCATCTGATACTTCATCTGGTATTAATAGAATTGGCGTTGATTAGTAACTGTCGAATATATTGTTGAGTTTACTGTTATTAAAGGGAATTGGTATCATTCGTCTTAGCATCATTTCACGTAGGTAATGACTTGATTTTGTTTAATAAGTATCGAAATCGAGCAGATTTTATTGGATTTCTATAAATTCAAGTGTTGAAATTCTGTATGACTTCTTGGAAATAATCATAATGATATTAATAGTGAATAATCATGATGGCAAGTTCATTATTTGATCATAGGATCAACTGGACCGGCATTTCTATTTGATCGTGTTGTGAATGTGGAATACTCAGAAACTCAAATGAGGACAATGATAACTGGACGACATATTGTAAGAGATGTTATGTGTAAACGCTGCAAGGTTTTATATTCTTCTGTTCATTTTATTCAAAATAACAACATTGGTGTTACTCGTTGTTAATATTATCATTATTGTCGTCATGGTTATTTTATTGTTACAGGCGAAATTAGGGTGGATGTACGAATATGCAATGAATGAACCACAAAAATATAAAGAAGCAAAAGTGATCCTTGAGAAAGCATTAATTGAAATGAGCGATGGAATCGATAATGCTGTTGAAGAAATCAGAGAGCCAAGGTTACATATTTCATCGTGATATCTTGTAATATTATTCTTATTAGAAGTGTAAGATAAATCGTTGATTATTACTTTATTCGTGTTATATAAAAGATTATGAACGAATCCGAATTATAACTTAAATGATATTTCATGTCGATGAGAACGAATTTTGTTTATTTGTGACTGAATCTATAGATAGCAAGGTAGTGCACGGTTAATGTTTGAAACGTGATACTGAGATAATAATAATTGTTCCGGTTGGTTTGTTAAGTGTCAAACATTATGCCATAGTGCTATGTACCGACGTGAGGTTTTGGCTGACTTGCTCGTTATTCATGTACTTATTGATGAATTACTGATCAATCTGCAGTTATAAACCATAATTTGATGTGTTGTAATTAAATAATTATTGTTTTGATCAATCGATGTGTGCAATGGATTGTATATTATCGAGAACAATTCAGTACATGTGTGTTTCATGGACGTGATGAAAATATAAAAATTCCATCTCTGCAAGAATTATGGGTTTGAATTGATTCCGTTTTAATCAGATTCTTATTGAATGATAATAAGTTTGACTGATTGTTCGTTAAATGATCGTTTGAATCGATCTGATCTGAAAAGATGGTTACCTCTATTTTGAATACCTATACAAATAGCGTATGTATTGTCATGTCGTTATTTAATTTGATGTGTTGCATAGTTGCGTTTCGGGAGAGATGCATGTGACTAGGCGGTGATGAGTTTGCAAAGTGTGGATGACAAATCAGGAGAATTAGTGAATTTGAGCCAGGAAGGGGGATACCGGGACGGGTGTGCACTCGTTGAAATGAGATCGAAAATTGAATTGAATTTACTGCAGCAGCATTCCCCTGGATATGATTTGATATGAGATAAATGCTCGTTTCGCTAAGATTCATCACCATAATGATGTCAGCGCAAGCTTTGTTTTGATTGTTTTACCCAGCCACTCGCATTCTCATCGTGTATAAACATATGAACAAGTTGCATCCTCGTCCTATTTGTCCATGACTGTTTTTTGCTCATTTCTCGATGACTAACAATGAAGCGCCTGTTCTTTAATTCATTCATTCCATTAATGGATTAACTAATTGATTGATTCGCGCAAATGGGTGGATTTTCTGTGGGGGTGGAAGCAAGATTCGTTTTAGTGGAAATAAATCTCATTCATTAACAATAATAATAATATCATTATTGTTTTCATTAGTATTATTATACTGATATTGCTAATGGGCCGTATTTTTTACGAACATTTGGGTGGGAAACGCGTTTTCTCGTGTGCAACATGTGAAATGTATCTGTCAAATCGTCATGAAGTTTTATCGACCAATTTTAGAGGTACTACTTTTGTTTGCGTTAATTTCGATCCGATTTGAGTTGATCAGTTCTGTATGGTTAAGCTGAAGTTATGATCAGACTCAGTTTGCATCTCGATCCATTAATTCGAGCTCATCCTTTATCGTATCACTTGGCTTGATACTTTGTTTGTTCCTCTACATAATTGCCAGCTAACAATAAATTTTCCTTATTGTATATGAGCAATAATTTCATTGTTCGTGAGCATGAAGTAGTCATAATTTTCATTGTATGAGAATCATGAGAATGTTAATCCTCGTAGTGGTAATATCACTAATAATTATAGTAGTGATAATTGAGGTGCAACCGGTCGAGCATACTTGTTTCGACGAGTGGTGAATATTCGAGAATCAGATGTGGAATCGAGGGAGATGATGACTGGACGACATCTAGTAAGAGACGTTTTCTGCAAGAGGTGTAACACGAAACTTGGTTGGATGTATGAGTTCGCTGTTGAACCTGATCAAAAATACAAAGAAGGTGTTGTCTAATGCTGCAGTTATTGTTCTCTACGATGACAGTGTTTATTATCCACTCGTTGCAGGTCGTGTCATATTGGAACGACGATTAGTGAGAGAATCAGAAGAGTTTGATGAATCGTTAGCACAACGATATGATATCGAAACAAGCAGTGAAGTGAGTTCTATTACAGTAACGTAAGGTTGTTGCATAGCTTAATGGATGTTTGATGTGGTGCGGTAAAAATCTCAGTTGTTCATTACCAACGGTTAACTGTTGTTACAAATGAAAATGTGTTTGTTTGTTGTTGCTTTTAAGGATAATCTGTTTGATTGTTGTAATATTAGAATGAGGCAAGTTTATTGTCACTTCACTGGGTCTTTTTGATCTAAAAACGTTTCATTTGCGTTGACTTGCACGTCCGCGAGTTCAAACTCGAGCTTTGATTAATCCTTAGGAATAAGTTCACTTGAAATGAGGCTTAAGAATGCCGTACGTTACGAGAACACTTGATAGGTACTGGTCGAAATATTTAACTGCAAACTGTTATTGCTAAAAAAACGAAATGAACTATTGGAGGTGATGGCGGCGATGATAATAAAAAGCTCACTTTTACCTCACTATTTATTTTTCATTCGCTCATTTGTGTTGCTGTTATTTTTGCTTTATTATGAGTAACATTGTTCGTATTTGCCTCCCTCCCTTCCTTCAGTTCAAGTTGTTTGGATTTATGCGCGTTTGGTTTTTCATTCATTTAATTCAAATTTTCAACTGATGATCTACTTCTTGCAATGCGATAATTCTTAAAATTTTGCTGCAGTAAAATTTGTATTTTACGTAATAGGTAAAAGTTACGATGTATATGCACCAGTGTTTATTGATCACTTTTTTGATGTTTATCAATAAGTTTAATATTCTTTTATAATATATGTTCTTTGTTCAATTAGTCATTTGTTACTGTGTTAATGTTTTTTTTTTGTAATTTTTATTTACTTTTCTCCTTGCTTTTGTCTCCAGCGTTATAATGTTCCAGTGATATTCTTATGGAAGATGTTTTGTTTGATATGAAGGCCGGAAATTTTTCATTACAGTTTCAGTTTAGAGCGATTATTTTTGATTGTCAACTTATTTCGATGAAATTTTGTTATTTTTTAAAGTGAAAAACTGTGAGATGAGCATTTATTGAAGAAAAACTTTGAGATAAGCTAATTTCGATGGTCATTGTTGCGATTTTCTTTGTTGCTTCGTCTTGGGATCCATTTTTTGAGAAATTTTCTCATCATTTCATTTATCAGTATAACCTGATAAATGAAACGATTGGAAATGAACGTAAGTGCGTATTGATTGCGTAAATGAATCATCATGAACATAAGTTCATGATGATTCATTATTTTATCGAACTTATCGTATAATATAAAATGATTTTTCTTTTCTCACCTATTGTTTTAGTGCGAATTAATTTTATTTTAAATGTCATTATTATTTTTATTATTGTTTTTGTTGTTGTTATTATTATCATTGTTATCATCATTACTATTACTACTCTGATTCCAATGGAATGCTTTTATTCAATTTTTAGCTTTGTTATGCGAAAAAGCATACTTACCATGTGTCTTCATCATTTAACTTTTATTTATTCATGTACTTGTTTCCTTATTTATTTTGTTGAACGTTATTCTTTGTATGGTAACAAAAGAAGATTAAAATTCATAACAAAAGTAGCTGTTTTTATATGTGATCAATCAAGTGTATGATTAAAAAGTTCTCAGATGTGCCCATTGTGTTGAATTGCATTTGATGCCAGACGGTTCTCCTAACCGTAGTTATATTAATATTTCTCATATACTTACTTTCACAAATGTACATCTATCCATATGACTCACAGTTATATATGTGCGTACAGGTTGGCAATCCTGAACTCCGGGACGTATTTATAAACGTGTGATGACTATACTACCGAATAAACCAAAGAAAAATGTGCCGAAAGGTGATCGACATAATGCAATGCAAGCAGGGTTCGTAATTCGTAATCCAGTTTATGCTTTCCAAGATTTTTTTTTCATCTAAGCGTGTGAGTTTGTTCATTGCACTGGGAATTTTTGTGAACATATTTGTTAAGTTTATTATGCTGTTATTATGATTAATATTAGTTGTTTTCGTAGAGCAAAGAAGAATAATTATGATCCATTTAATTTAGAGGTCGTACGCCACTTATGGGCACATATTCACATTCGCATTCTCACTCGCATCACCATTGTATATCATCGGACAGTGAATCTCGTAAAACATCTTCAAATTCTTCAATATCAGCCAATGGAGTATCTACTAGATGTGTTAATAGTAATACAAATAATCAGTTGTCTAGGTTCATTTATTATCATGTGTTATTTTAATATAAGATTTTTATATTTTAATTATCAATATTACAATTACTTAATATTGTAATCATGTTCAATATTTGTTCTTATTGTTGATGTGTTCAGGGGGGATGTATTGTCAAAAGGAGACGTCAAAGGTGGTGCGGAATGTAGTAAAATGCTGAATGTGCATAGAAAAGGTTTCTGTTGTTTATACACAGAATATTTATTCGGTCAACTTTCTTTGATATTGATGGTGACGATGAAAGCTATTGTTGATAGTTTTGATTTAATCAGATTGTTATTAGTATGATTACACGAGTTATTTTTGTTATTGCTGATAATATTCGTAGTTAAATGAGCCACTTTCATTTGTTATTTTCAGATGATTCAGCGCACAACTCAGATGATGAATATGATACTGGTTTTAAGGATGATAATGTTTGCATCACTTGTTACTGAATGATTCTTGTTATCGTTTTTTTTTTGTTTTTACTGTTTTATTTTTATTATTGTCATTAGTGTTATTATGTTCGTTGGTATTGCAGTTGGAAGCAATATTTAAAGATCGTCTACGTCGCGTACGTGGTTTTCATATCAAGGAGGTGCGTGGCGATGGAGCATGTCTATTTCGCGCTGTCGGTTGGTGATTTGTAGATGTAATTCGATTTGTTCATTTAATTGTTGTGAAATATTGGTGATGATGACATCAACGTTGATACTGATAATGGGTTTGGAAGCAGTAATGAAATCAATGGTAATAATAATGTATAGTAATTAATAGTAGTAAAAGCAATAAATTATAGTGATGTGTGATGTAAAATGAAAAAGTAATAAACAATATTGATTAGCAATGATAATAATAATGAAAATAAAAATGACAATGGCAGTGAATAATAATAATGATGGCAATAATAATAATGTGTGTTTATGAAATTTGTACTTTGCAAGTTAATTCGGTGTTGTTTTAGCTGATCAAGTTTACGGTGACGAAGAAATGCATAGCGACGTACGTCGACTCTGCCTTGATTACATGGTTTGTTCATAAACGAATTAAAGTTACCTTTTTTATGTTTATTCTTTCACTTTTGCAGTTTCCTTGTGACACTCACGTAAACCATGTTTCATATTTAATCTCATGTTACGAATGACCTTGAAGCCTGAATTCAGTGAATGAAGGGTAAAGCCTTTATGCAGTGCAGTAGAATAGGTTCGTTCGTTCATTCATTCGTTCATGTATAGAAATAGCACCAACTAATATGTCACGGTTATTTATTGAAGGAGAAAAATCGTGACCATTTTTCGCAGTTCGTAACTGAAGACTTTGGCGAATACTTAGCACGTAAACGACGTGAAGATGAACATGGAAATCACATAGAACTGCAAGCAATTTCGGAGATTTTTTCGAGGCCAATTGAAATTTACGAATATTGCACTGGTTTGTAAATTTATCAGTTTCTTATA